CCTTCCTTCCTTCCTTCCTTCCTTCCTTCCTTCCTTCCTTCCTTCCTTCCTTCCTTTCTTCCTTCCTTCCTTTCTTTCTTTTGTTGAGACACAGTCTTCCTATGCAGTTCAGGCTGGCCTTGAGCTTATCTGTGAGTTGGTCTCCAACTCACAATGATCCTTCTGCCTCAGCCTCCCAAGTGCTGGGATTATAGATGTGGGCCACCACACCCAGCCATTGAACCACAATTTCTTCATCTGCCCAATAAAGAATCTGTTTCATAAGGTTGTTTATGATTTTGAATTTACAAAAGTTAATACACAAAAATATTTCAGTGCCTGGCACATAATAACTATGACAAAAAAGTCATACATTATTATTTTTATTGCTGTCTGTGTTGTTACCACTGCTATATTTTTATGATTTGTGAGTAGGAAAGAAGGTATGGATTTAGTGAATTCTCCTTGTATTTTTATTTTATTTTATTTTTTGGTGATACCAGGGATCAAACTCAGGACCTTGCGCTTGCCAGGCAAGCAATATCTCCCTAGCCCGAATTCTCCTTTTAAAGCCAATTTATGTGACCTCTGTCCTACATGAGACTGCAATGGATGCTCTCTGGGTAATGAGATAAAAGATGAACATCTGATGTGAGATTTTTAAGAGACACAAAAGGACATTGTGGCTTTTTAGGAATTTTAATGCATTGTGGCTCTTGAAGATTTCCATGCCTCTCTCTGCTACTGTTACGCTGCCTTCTGAGAACCCTGTGCTTCTCTTTCTTGGAGCCAGGACTGAGCCCGTGGCTGACCTGCCTTGAAGACGGGATGTGGTCGCTTCCTGAAGTGTACTGCAAGGTGGAATGTGACGCTCCCCCCATCATTCCAAACGCCAAGCTACTCCTGCCTCACTGTGTCCAGGGCAGCCATGATGTTGGCACCACCTGCAAATACGAGTGCAGGCCAGGCTACTATGTGGTGGAGCGTACAGGGAGACAAGTCCGGAAGTAAGTGGCGGTGTGCTTGGTCTCCACTGTCTTACTGCCCTCAAACCTGGCTCCTCCTCCCTCACTTATAAATCCCAGATCATTCCTTGGGAAATGGCACGAAGATGTTTTAGGATACCCACTGCTCCTTGTATTTGGTTCTAATCTTTCTTCACCAGTACAGACATATTCTCCAGTCATGACAGGCAAGTAACTTTCCTTCTTATTCAAAGACAATCTTTCCTGTAGGAGATCTCACAATCTCACCGATATGATTTTTAAAAGAATTTTTACCCAGATTGTTATTTTCTTTGTAGCTGATTTACAGGAGCCACCAAGCACTGTACGTGTCACTTGACTCCATCTCTTTGTTATCACACCTTCATCTGTTCAACTTATAGTGGTGGCTTGGGCAAAAACTGCCTGGCATAGTCCATTGTCCTAACACTTACTACACAGATGTGTGGCGCTGGGACTGTTTCACCCTCTCTCTCAGTTTTCTCATCTGTTAAATGTGGATAATAATAATGATAATTACCTAAAAGGGCTGATCTAGGTACTAACTGAATCAACAGTGTGCTTATTTTTAAAATAGAAGACACAACACGGATTTTCTCGTATAATCTTTCTGCCTTTTCCTCCCTGAATTCATGGATGTGCAATCCCTGAGTCATAGCCAGAAATTCCTTCCTTCTGAAGATGTGAGAAATAAGAAAGACAAGTGTTTTGTACAGTATGGTATAATTTACAACCACAGGCTCTCGGGGTCTGCCTAGGACTCAAATACTGGTCCTCCTCTACCAGCTAACTAACCCCAGGCAAGTGATTGAGTCTTCTGTATCTTGGTCTCCTTTGTTTTTTTAAAATTAATTTTATTGAGAAACAAATAGCAATGAGACAGTTTCAAAACCAATTAATAGGACAGTGTCAATAATTAACACATTGCATATTGTTGTATTCGTAGTGGTTATTCATAGTACAAGATGCAGACATGATATCCTGTCCAAACACTATTAGTACAAATCTTTCTTATTGAATTAAGAGAAAGTAGCTGTATATCTATCCTAATTATTTTGTATATACAGATACAAAATGGTCCTTCATTTATACCCCTTGGTCTTCTTTGTAAATCAAGGTAAATGCCCCTTTGAGCAGAGGAGTGAGCTGAGGGTTGAATGAGAGAACAGACACCCAGTGCAATGTCTGCCTTGTTCCTAAAACTCAGTGCATACTGTTACAAAAGAAGAAAACCTTATGAACAAACAAGTTTTTCAAAAAAAAAAAAAAGAAATTCTGTATTTAGTAAGTAGTAGGTGTTCTTCCTAAACTTTAGCTCTATAGATACAGAAGAAAATTAAATCCATTTCTTAACTAGGATTAGTTCAAAGCCTGAGCATAGGTTTTCTGTTTTAAGATATTTTTAACTAGCAAAATCCAAGCCATGGGATTACCAGTGTTGCTGCAGATAGAACCTTTGCCTGTACACTAGACATCTCCAGGAGCCCAGAATAAAGTCAGGAATCTTATCCTTTGGCTCACACCCACCCTTGGTGTAGTTGATCCCAGCTCTGTTAACATGGAAATTATAGAGCCTCGGGCAAGCCAAGGCCTTTCCACCTTGGAAAAAAGCCCATGCTCAGACATGGGCAGAAAAGAACAAACTCGCTTCCTGCCATCTCAGCCAGAGGGAAGAGACAGAATGAGTAGACCATGAGTGAACGATGAAAAATTAGCAGCATGACACTCTTTCCTTTGGTGCACACTGTAAAGTTCAGTGAATGGTCAGTGTTTGGCAGTGGAGGAAACACTGCATGTTTTTTTCTAGAGGGTCTTGGTGTGATTTGCACAGGAGCCTGTCCGCCCACAGATGGTGAGCTCCCTGCACTCTTTCGGTGAGGATGTTGTGTAGCTCATCTGAAGGCCGCTGTTTCTCGCATCTTTCCCATCTTTTCTGGTCCACCTTTTCATGCACTAGCAGCCATTTTGGATATCTGAAGAGCTGAAAAGCGAATAGTTGAGGGAGACAGAAACTTATCAGGACATGAAAGAATTAAAGGTGGAAAGCCGCCTGTCAGTTCTCTGGGCCTAAGGCTGACCTTCTGAGTGGGAACAATGAGGTTTCCTTCCAGAACTCTGGGTTTTCTGCCCCAGCCTTGTAACTCTGCCCCAAGGCTGGGGCCCTCGAGAGCCATGCGTGGACCCAGCTTTGCTGGCTGAGAAACTGGATGCTTGCATCACAAAGTCGGCAACAGTTTTGGCTTAAACATTTACATTCGCAAGCACCGTGCTAAGGAGAGATTAAATTATTTACTGCCCTGTGTAAACTGATTAAATCTTAGTTTACACCTGTTTACATAGCAGGCGACGATTGGTAATCAGAAGTTTGCAAGGCCTGTGTAAATCACTGTCACTTGCCACTTGTGTTTATCCAGCGAAATATGTCAGCCTCGTTCTTCCCTGGAAAAAGCCCAGTGTTGTACAAATGGGGCCCTAAAATTCTTCTTAGGACATGCACACATGAAGAGAAGAAACAGAAAATCAGGCAGGGAAACCAACCCAGAGTGTACAGGCACATGCTAATGTATGCTGTCGTATGATGTGCATAGGGGGAAAAGCAAATACTTGATAGATCTGCAATTTGTGTGACTCTGAGCAATCTATTCGACATCCATGAGTATGAGGTTTTGTATCCATCATACAAAGGCTAGTAACTATTTGCATCCAACCATATTCTTTTGAGGCTGAAAGTTGGGTAATGTACCAAAAGCATTTTATAATTTCTATGTTCAACATATATACCTGCTAGGTATTACTGCTTGTTTATTTCTTTTTAAAAGAAGGAAGCAACTAACAAAATATCAGTCAAACGCATTCTCTTTCTGCTTCTTCCAAACTCCCTTGTAGGGTAAGTCCTAGACTTGACTTTCTCTGAGATCCCTATGCCAGCTTTGTCCCATTCCATCTATGAGTAGCAGGGAAGGCACATTTATCACATCCACACTCCTTACCAGGCTTTGGATCAGCAACAAGAAAGACCCAGGAATGAGACCTATGCAGGCATCTCAGACCTAGAGGCAAGTTCTGCTTTCACAGCATGGTGGGGTTTGCTTTCCTTTAAAGGCTTCTTTCTTGGTCCTGTTCCATCTTGTGCCAGCTTTCCTTCTTTCTCTCTGTCTCTGCTCAGTTTTTTCCCTAGCTTTTCCCTCTGCCAGTGCTTCTGTGCTGCTGTTCCTGTGTCCTCTTTTCTCCCTTGATTTATACATCCATCCAGGATGAAGCTTCTTTAGCCCATAGCTTTGATTACTGCTCACAGGCTGATGACTCCTAAACACAAACCTGAGATTGTGGACTTTTCCCTTAAGTGCTATGAAGCCCTAAGGCCACTTACACTTTTCTTATCTGCAGCTCAAGCTCCTAACTGTACAGAGATGTTCATTAAAAAAATTCCTTTTAGGTCTGGACATCTCTTTGCAGCAAAAAATAAAAACAACTTCAAAAGAACTCAAATTCAATTATTGTATTTTCCTACATAAAAATGAATGATGAGTCTTTCTTCAGCTACAGAGACAAAAGAGCTTAAGTCAAAATATTTTCAGGGTCTTGCATGATCTATATGGGCCTTGTTTATTTCTCAGGCCTTGACTCCACACCCTATTCCCTAAGGGAGTGTTTCTCCTCATTACATACCTGCTATAGCACAGGCTCTGAGGCCACAAAACAACTCTACTTTGTCATAGAAGCCATGGTGAATGTACCTTCACACAAGCTATTCCTTCTGCCCAGAGCATTTCTTTGATCTTTCTCTTGGCCAATTCTTATTCTTCTTAGCAAAGGCATGATTTTTCACTGAGGAAATCCCCTACCACCTCCCCAGACTGCAGAAAATGCAACTCCCTGTGCTTCCATTGTACAGGATAACATCATCTGCACCTCTGATCACCAATACTCTGATTTCTACCTATGTTATGCAACAGATCATATACTTTTGCTTAGCATTTTGTGTGCTATGGCAAATCTATTCACTGGCAGGTGCTCTAGACTTCCTGAATGGAAGAAAGGTGATAAAATACTGATATTAAAGTTCATGCTAAAACAATATGGTGAATAAAAGGAGATTTTCTCATTGCATGGTAGAGATCTTCAAGTATTTTAGAAAAGAATTAAAATTTTAAAATATTGGGGCATGTTTTTATTTTAATCATTTTCTGTACTGCCGAGAAAGAATGGTCAATGCTCCAAAGACAGTTTCAACTTTATTTATTCAACAGACATTTACACTTGATTAGCACAACTCTGTACAAGTTAGTGGTAATAGAAAAAAGATGGACATCTCAGCAAGCTCACAGAAACAGTGCTTCTCATATTTGGCTGTGTGTAGCATCACCCACGGTGATTTTAAAAGTCCTGCTATCCGAGTTATACCCCAAGCAATCACAGACAGTCTCTGACTTACCATTGCTCCACTTAAGTTTTTTTTTTTTTTAACTTTACTACAGTGCAAAAGCAGTTACATATTCAGCAGAGATGGGATTTCAAATTTTGAATTTTGTTTTTTTCCTGGACGAGCGCTGTATGTGTCCTCCCCACAGTACACTCATGGTATTGGCAGATTATGGTGTCCAGTAGGTTAGGTGTGCTACATGCACTTTCTGGCCTGCAATACTTTCAACTTTTGAAAGGGCCAACTAGGATGCAATCCAGTAAGTCAAGAGACATTTGACCCCAGTATTTCTGGTGGGGGCCTAGATTCCAGTATTTAAAAAGCTCCCCAAGTCTCTACAGTATGCATCCACGGGCAAAGGCTAGACCAGCGCAAACTTTGTCTTGTTTAAACACTATCAGTCTGAGATGTCCCTCTCCTAGTTAAAAATTAGAAAAGGGAACAGTAAGCTATCTCTTTTCAAAATTAGTGTATTAACCTTTGGCATGGTAGAGTTTTATGTGTCACTTTGAGAGTTATTTATTTTTGAGGGTACTAGAGAAAATGCGAGAAGTGTAACTTGAAAAAAGCTGCAAAGTTT